CTGTGGCCGCAGCTGGAGGAAAGGCACAGCTCTCAGGGTCAAGACCCAGGCCTAAGTCCCCCTTTGGACCAGAGCAGGGGAAGAGTCCCAGCCCCTAGGCCAGCTAGGAAGGTAGGAGGGTCTGCTTACTGTTCCAAATGCAGGGTCTTCATCAATGTCCCTGATCTGCAACCCCAGGCGAGTCAGCTGTCACTTCTCCAGTTGGGCCCCACTCACTTCCCCTACTTCTGTTCTTCGAAAATGCCAACCAATCTAGTAAAACCTTGGCATTCAATTATTCAGCCCACAAGGTTTGGGCCACACAATTGCCTGCGTGGCCACTTTAGCTACATGAGTCCTTCTCACCACCTTCAGCTTTTCATTTCAGCGCGGTGCCCAGGCCTCACAAGTGCCTGGTCGTTAAGGAGGCTATGTAACTGGAATCTTCCTCTTCAGCAATTAACACCATGCTCTCACACCCCTAGCAGCATAATTGCACTCACATCCTGCCTGCCCCAAACTCGCTGCAATTGGGGGGGGGGGGGGCGGCCAGAAGAGGTAGGTCTCTCCCTAGGAGAGCTCTTTATTTGTTCAAGGTCCAAAAGGCAAGGATACCTTCAAGAAATTTTGCTTTGGGGGATGCAGAATGCCAGTGTGTGGCCTGGCGTACTCCCTTCCACGCAGCCCCCCTCCCCAAGGTTTCAATGGCTTTTAAGAAAGAGAAAAGGTTCAACCCCAACACCGAAGGGGCAGCAGCAACTTGTACCCGTCCCCATCAGTACACATCAGGAAGCTTTTTCCTGGAGCACCTGAGGATGGAGGGAGGCATGAGCTGAGCCAGGAGCTGACTCTCTACATGTGCCATGCTGGGATTCCCAGTACCCAGCCGAACTCCCCACAGGTAGGAACTGAAACATCCTATTATAGGCGAAGGCAAAGGATCCAGCCAAACTCGGGTGTAGCATACATTTGGTTTAGGCTCAAAAGCACAGAAATCCGTATTTGTGGGGAGCAGAAAACTCTCAAAACATCTCCTTTCTCAGTAACACTTCACTGTGGCTGACCCACTACATCAAGGAAAGCTGGGGTTGGACGGAGAGCGACCAAGAAGAAAGCCCACATTCCACGCTACCTTGCTCTCATCACCTCGTTAGCTCCGGATACAAACACTCCAATGTGCCCCCACACAGAAAACCTTTGGCCTATGGCTGCACCTGGCTGCACCTTTCCTGGCCCAGGAATAAACTTGGAGACCCTTAAAACAAAGAAAACACAACAAAACCCCCAACAACTAGAACTTGAAACAACAAATGTGAAATGGACAAACAGCAAGGAATGCAGGAAACAGGACCCCCAGCCCCTGCACTGAAGAACTTTCACCAGGGCAGACTGCCTGCACCCAAGAAAGCCTATAGGACTGGGCTCTTACTCTCCTGACCCCAAGGAAGCCACAGAAACAAAACTCTCGAGGAAAAGGGCTGGGCACTAGAGCGGAGAGCTCTTTGCAGGCTGGCTGCAGGCTTCTTCTAAAGCCTTATGTCTCCAAGTGTGCTCCTCCCAGGATGGTGGCCACCTAGGGTGCTTGTTATAAATTCAGGTTCTCAGGCCCCACCCTGGACTCAGCAAAGCAGCATCTACATGTTAACAAGATGTACAGTGATCTCTGGGAGAAGCCCACTATAAGGCCTGGGTGGAAAGAGGCAGAGGCCTGACTCGCCTGAGTAGACTCCTCAGGGCCTCCAGCCAGTCTGAAGCCTCTGGCCTTAAGGAGAAAAATCTCAATGTCTCCCACGGCTCCCTCATAATTGCTCCCCACACAGCAGGGCACAGGGCAGCTCCCCCTGCTCAGTCACCCACCTGGTCAGGAAGGAGCATGGGTCTTCTGAGCCCATCTCAGTTCCTACTCTGCCAAACAGGGTCCCCAGTACCTAAACCAGGCAGTCCTCAGGGCTGCCCTGAGGACTCAAAGAGGAGTATGAAGAACCAGACAATAAATGTGGCTCCTGGCCTGCCCTTCAACCACTTGAGCAAACGCCCTCATTTCCAGGGAACACAGATAACCTGGTCCGGGTCATAGCTGAATCACCCGCACTGTGGAGGTCCTACTCAGACCCCCTCTCCTTGAGTTCCCCACCTCCAGAATCTGGGGACTCTAGGGTACGTGGCTGAGGGAGGAGGTACTCCAAACCACATGCTCAGTATGGTGTTTGTTACAGATACAAACAGAAGAACACATTATAGAGCAGAATGCAAAATCCATATGAATTTTTAAGATAAAAGAGGGGACTTCAAAGCAACTTCCGGTTTGTTAGTGGGCTTCTTTGGGCTATATGGTCTGGGAGGGCAAGTGGGGAAGCAGCCACCTGTGTGAGCATCCCTTCGCCTCTGGGAGGCTTCAGTCAAAGGGTTTGAGGAGCACCACCTTCTCTGATTTCCCTGAAACTGAAGTGGCAGATGGCCTCACCCCCCCTCCCCCGCCCCCCGCAGGCTGCCACAGTGTTCCCAGCAGCCTCTGGAGTGCCCAATGCCATGCACCAACCAACAGCTTTTAGACTGAATCAAGTGATACTAGCAATCAGCCTTGAGGTTCCAACGAGGTCTTCAGGGGAACCCACGTTCTCTGAAGGCTGTATGAACTTGAAACAATTAGATCCCGAGAACAGAAACATGGACACAGTAAATTTCTCCTGTGGTTCACTGTCCCACCGAAATCCTAACCACAGATGCCAGGCATTCTGGGAGGGCCAGGGGAGGGATAAAAATGAAGCTAACAGGGCAGGAAAAGAGTTTTAAAAAACAAAACTAAAAGCTATGGTCTTTTCCTACATTACCCACAAAACAGCCAGGGCAAGGCCCACGTTTTCTGGACCTATGACCTCAACCACAGCCGCAGAGATTAGGAAATCAGAACCACCCATCAGAAGTGCTGGAATGAACAACTATGGGCATGAGTAACCAAAGCCCATGACATCAGCTAAAACCACCTGCTGGGACAGGCAGAGACAATGGCTCCTGGGGAAACTCACTAGTCCTCGGGCAGCCTGCAGGTAGGGGCTGGGGGTGTTAACTGGCAAATTTGGCAAAGATCAGGGTAGACAAGGACCTACATAAGAGGCACAAACCCTAAACTAGGCAACTGTTCCATAGGCTCTCTAGATGGACGACAGGAATTAGAGATAAGAAAGGCTCAGGGAGGTTTAGGAACTCGGCTGTGCACACAAAGACAGCAAATTCCAGAGCCAGGATGGGATGCAGGTGCCCCGAACTCCACACCTCACTCTCTCCCCTGGGCCTCCGGTCATTCCATTCCAGGTTACCCACTTCAAAAAGAGCCACTGGCTGCCACACAGAAATGGCCAAGCTGACAACAATTACAAAACAGAGAGCCTCGTCAGGTGAAGTCCCACCCTGCTGCCCAGGGTCCATACGTCAGAGCAATAAACAAACACCAGCAGGGCTTCTCTATTCTTTCTCTTCTCTCCTCTGCCTGTCCTCCCTCTGGCTAAGGCACTGATGAGCAGGGAGCAAAGGAAAGTGTAGTGGACACCTGGGCTCCACTGAAACCCCAGGCAGCTGGGGGAGGATGGGGCTCTAGCATCAGGACCACTCCTGCTGGAAGGCTGGGGGACAAAGCCATAGTCATGACTTGCCCTGGCTGCTATCCTGACTCAAGGCATGAGTCTAACGCTAGGAATGGATGGGAGCAGAAGCTGTTGTTTCGGGGGCCACACAGGCAGACGGGCACAATACACACCAGCTCGGGACCAACAGAGAAGCCTTTTTAGTGGTCCCCTCAAAGGAGAAGATGTGAAACAGCTGGGGCCAGAGCCTGGGAAATGTGCCAGGCAGGAGACCCAAGAATGGCTGCAAGTCCCACTGCCCAGCAAGAGCTCACGATATGGCCCAGGTGCTGGCCCCACGCTGTGTGCATGCTAGGCAAGTATACCTGCCACAGGGCCCAAGGAGCTTATGGTCCAGCTGGCGGGGGTGGGCAGGGGAATCACAACAGACAACTGAACAAATAAACATAGACAAAGTTGAACCATGTGTAACTGCCATTTTGTGGGTCAAATTTGGTCAAAATTAATAATTTCATACAGTTCAACCTGATCAGAAGTTGTCTTACACATTATGAAGCCCAAGAGCAGTAATTAAAAATAAGAAAGAAGTCCGACCCATCCAGACAGGGTGGTTGGGGAGAGATGGGGGAGGTGACAGGACAGTTGCAGAGGAGAGGGACGGGGGAGCCAGCATGTAGAGCCAGCACACAGGCCAAAGCCTGCAGCCCATCTCCCTAAGATCCCTAAAATCAGCAGTAAACTGAGCACAGAAATCAGGAGGGTCCCAAGCCTCTGAGGCCTCAGCACTGTGGGCCACCAGAAGTCCCCTAACCATGTCTATATGACAGAGTCCACACCCATGAGGACAAAAGACGGTTTTGGGTGAAAGGGTAATAGCCTGACCACTCCATTGCCCTGGGTCTTCACTCTGCCCCATATCCTCCCACTCTGCCATGTGATCCACATGGGCCCTCCACAACTCTCAGACTGGGGTCAGCTGGCATGACCTGTTTTGGCCAATGGGGTGACAGCAAATCTGTAGCCAAGGACTGAAAAGTGCTCGTGCATTTCTGCTGGTGCCTCTGCTCTCCGCCATCCCCATGAGAAGTCAATGTCCAGACTAGCTTGCTGGTCCCAGAAGGAGGATGAGAGGCACAAAGAGGAGAGATGACTCACCCCAGTCACCCTGGCTGGAGCTGTCCTAGACCAGCCGACCCCCAGACATCACGGACAGCAGAGCCACCACCTGGCCAGCCACCCCAGATGACTGAGCAAAATCCACGCAGAAAGCTGTCTGCCACTGAGGCTTTGTGGTTGGTTGTTACACAGCAGGCCTATGGCAGTACATGCGAGAGACCGTACAGGAGGTACTCAATATCTGTCACGGGAGTAAACAAGTTCCAATTTCATTTCTAAAAAATTAAGGGTTTAATAATTTATCAACTGTGTAAACTACAGTACCTTCTATACAGGTTTTCTACAAAAACATATCTTGCACTGTGAATCGACCGCTCCATCAATCGTACCGGTGATGTCTAAAAGAAAACAAAGTGATTCATTGACTCAGGTCAGGGGGGCTTGAAGGATGCTTGTTGCTCCCCCCGCCTACGGTCTGTGCTGAACACAAGAATAGAGAAGTTATGGGATGGTGAGGCAATCACCAGAGCAGAAATGTGTGTCTAACATGGGGCTCAGCTGTGCTCTGCCCCCCCCCACCCCGCCCTCGCCACGCCCCGAAGCTCTGGGTGGCCACTGCAGCAATGCAGGGACAGAGGGCTCATCAGCAGCAGCCTCTTTCATAGCAGAGGTGAGGCTCAAATGGATTATCAGTTTGGGGAAATGCTAGAAAAACCACCAAGTGCTGCCCAGCAGAGTGCTGTCCAGTGGAAAGTGTGGTAATTATGGAACTAAATAGTCTGCATTTGCTTAATGTATGCCCGAGGTAAAGCCCCGAGAGGGCTGGAGTGTGTGTGACATGCTGGGGACTCTGCCATCAGTGACTGAGGGCCTGGCTTTCCGGAACCCCACAAAGATGTGAGACCTTTGTGCCTCTGCACAGGGCTGGCTGGGGATCACTGCAGACCTTTGCAAACCGGGAAGGACTGTGCCCAAGTGGGCAAACACTGCCTCACTCAGCCTGGCCCACAGCACCCACGGGACCTGGACTGGCAAATCAGAGGCATATTCAAAGCCGTAACCCAGGAATTTCCTGGGTGTTTATGTCCATCCATCTTCCTTTCCATTTTTTTCCATCCTCTCCTCACTTATGACCCTCTGCTACCCATATGTTGCTAGCACCCCACTCATCCAACTCTCCTTCCGTTCCTCCTTCCTTGTCTGTCATTCTTCCTCTCCCATGGCAGACTTCCTTAAACGGAGAAACACACATATGTCCCCTTATAGTCACATATATTAGACACAATTTAGATTTGCAGTTGAGTGCCTGTTCAGGAAAAATAGGGTGAATAAAGGGGGAAAAGTGCCAACCTCAGATGCTCTGACCTGTAGCACTTAGGTATTTGGGGAGACAGAAACGCATACAGTTCTGCTCATATCTTTCCATCTTTAAAAGATACAGATTTGTGGAAGGATAGCTATAGTCACAACTGCCCAGCTCTGGATCAAACCACTCAGCTGAGTGGCTGTGTCAACATAACAGGCTATAGGGACCTCCCATCTCCTTCATGGACAGCATCCATGCTGGTCTTCCAGGTTGTGCTTACAATTTTGAACCACAGGTGTCGATCAGGCTCTCTTCAGTCAGCTCTCTTTTAAGAGACTCTGTCCCTATTCACATGCCAGCTAATAGAGGGGGTCTAAGCGGCATGTTTGTGCCCTGTGATCTGTGCCAACACCTGATTGGCCCACAGGTAGACACAGGGACCAAGCTGAGCCAATCAAATTCTTTCTCCCAAGAATTTGAACCAAGAGCCAAAGGTGAAGGTTAGATCAGTGGTTCTCAAGAGTGGCTAAAATGAACAAATCAGGAGACTATAGATGCTGGGGAGGATGTAGAGAAACGGGAACCATCTTGCACTGTTGGTGGGAATGCAAACTGGTGCAGCCGCTCTGGAAAACAGTGTGGAAGTTCCTCAAAAAATTAAAAATAGATCTACCCTATAACCCAGCAATAGCACTGCTAGGAATTTACCCAAGGGATACAGGAGTGCTGATGCATAGGGGCACTTGTACCCCAATGTTTATAGCAGCACTTTCCACAATAGCCAAATTATGGAAAGAGCCTAAATATCCATCAACTGACGAATGGATAAAGAAGATGTGGTTTATACATACAATGGAACACTACTTGATAATGAGAAAGAATGAAATCTGGCCATTTGTAGCAACGTGGATGGAACTGGAGAGTGTTATGCTAAGTGAAATAAGTCAGGCAGAGAAAGACAGATACCATATGCTTTCACTCATATTGGATCCTAAGAAACTCAATAGAAGACCAGGGGGGAGGGGAAGGGGGAAAAAAAGAAAAGTTACAGAGAGGGAAGGAGGCAAACCATAAGAGACTCTTAAATACTGAGAACAAACTGAGGGCTGATAGGGGGTGGGCGGGTGGCGGGGGAGGGGAAAGTGGATGATGGGCATTGAGGAGGGCACCTGTTGGGATGAGCACTGGATGTTGTATGGAAACCAATTTGACAATAAATTTCATACCAAAAAAAAAAAAAAAAACCATGCAAACAAACAAAGCATGCATTAAAATCACCTGGAGAGCTTGACAAAACACAGATTGCTGGGCCTCATCTCTAGAATTTCTGATTCAGCAGGTCTGAGATGGGGCCAGAAAATTTCTAACACGTTCCAGATGTTCCTGCTGCTCCAGGTCTAGGCACACTTGGAGAAGAACTGAGTTAAATAATGTTGAGCCCAGAAGGAGTCAGGTTGTGAACAGTCAGGCTCACAGGGACATCCCTACCAACTTAGTGGCTAGCTGAGGCTGGTGGGGGAGGGCACTAGAGGCTGGAACTCAGAGAGCCAGGAACAGGAAGCCTTGGCCCCAAAGACAGAGAAGGCTGAGCAGTGCTGAAGGTCCAGCGAGGCTTCCTTGCAAGGTTCCCCTTCCTGGAAATCATATACCCACCACGGCAAGAACATTTTCAGAAGGCTAAAGCTGAGCATCTGAATGTACCTGGGGACGAGTGTGGTGGTCCAGCATCGTGAGCTGCACATATGTCTGCAGCGTGAAGCCCCATCGACAAGCATCGCGGTACAGCAGACCCTGCAGAAGGGAGAACGCAGCACTTTACCCCAAAAACCTCGAGCTGTAGAACTCTGGTCTCTTCAGTCACTGATGGCCATCTCGTGAAACCCACATGGGGCTGTGATGGGGCCAGGGATGAAGCCAACATGGTTGCAGGGCCCTCAGGACAGTGTGGACAGACTAGAGCAATTATAGGACAACCAAGTAACAGCTGTAATAGGAGCCTATATAAAGTCGGACAACCAAGTAACAGCTGTATAGGAGCCTATATAAAGTCGGAGGGAACAGTCATTCGGTGTTTACTGAGTCCCCTGCAGTCAGTTCTCTATCCAGCACTCAAAGTGAGCCCGTTAAACCTCACCCAGCTCTTGATGTTCCTCCACTCAGAACCTTCCAGGGGCTTCCCACTGAATTCAGAATGAAAGCCAAACCCCTTACCAAAGCCCACAGGGCCCTAGAAAATCACTTCCATCTTCCCTTGTCTCCTACGACCCTTCCTCTGACTCAATGTTCTTCCAACCACACAAGCCTCCTGAGTGTCCCCCCTAAACACCCAAGCATGACCCCACCTCAGGGCCTTTGCATTTGCTATGACTTGTAACTGAACACTTTTGCTCCAGAAATCTGTACTGCTCACTCTCTACGTTTAAGTCTGTGCTCAAGTGTCCCCTTGGCAGAGATGCCTTCCCCAACTATCTTATCCAAAAGAACAGCCCCATGCCCATCATTCTTTGTTGCCAGTATATATAAAACAGTCCATGTTCCATTTTTCATTTGCTAATAATCTTAAATTCTGCTCGTTTCCACATTTTTCCTTTTTTTCTCTCTCTCTCGGTGCTAACTAATGAAATTCCAGTGCTCCGCATAGAAAACTGCAAACTCCTACCTGCAGATGAAAGAAAATCTCAGAAAGCTTAGGAGAAACACTCTCCATCTGAAGGCTGAACAAACATCTCCCTGCATCAGAAAGCCAATTCAGATAAAGTGATGAATTGACACTTCACAAAACTACCAATCTTGCCCTTCTGTCCAGAGCAGAAACGTGTCTAGAAATACCTAATTCTATCATATTCTGTATTATAAAACTGTCTTTGGAGATGCTGTTTGTCCTGAGGAGACTCAGACTCTTGAGACCGGGACTGTGTCCTGTACAATGTCACCTCTGAGCCCTAACATCTATGACCTAGCTATCTTAGCTGGTTCCTAAAGAATATGAATGTTTCTGAGGCTTCTTTATTATGCCCAAAGAGAACGAGTGGCATTCTATCTTCTCCCACATGCACAGAGGTGAAACTATTTTCACGTCTCTGGGATTCTTTATTCAAAGGCTCTGAGAACTTCTGCCGTATTTAATTAATACCCTTTTGCCTGCTTCAGGTATCTTCACAGCTCCCATCACCACCTACCAAATCACTACCGAATTGTCTTCTGCCTCCCCACACCAGAATATTAAGGCCAAGAGAGCAAGAGCTTTGAGATGTCACTGCTCCAGAATCTAAACAGTGCCTGGCACATGGCAGGCATTCAATAAATACTGGTTGAATGAACGAATGAATGAGCACCTACTAGGTGCCTGACAGAGCGCTATGTTGTAGCAAACACAGTCAGCCATATTAGTCATAGTCCCTGCTGCTAGTGCAACTCAGAGTCTAATGAACCACACAAGGAGATGTCACTTGTGTTGCCAGAAATGAGGAGCCGGCACAAGCTCCCCCTGCTCCACGGGTCAGAGCTACTAGCTCTGTCATTTACCAGAGGTATATGACCTTGGGCAACTTATTTCAGCTGCAGTTTCCTCACCTGAAAAGTGAAACTAATCATCCCTACAACACGGGGCAGGAGCCCAGAACCATCATCCCTTTCTTAAGCTCCCTCTTACCAGACTCAAACTCCACCCATCTCTTCCAAGCAGCCAGATGGGGATGGAAGGAAGGAGCTCAGGCACACTGTAGCCCCTGCTTGCTAGGTCCACCCTTGGCAAAGCAAGAGGTAGCTACAGGGTGAGCCGAATTCAGCCCCTGGGCATTGCCAACTGCAAACCCAAACCAGAGGTTTACTGAGCAACTTTGTTACTTAGAGACAGGTCCTAGGGGAGACCTAGGTTCTACTGGGTTCCTTCTAGAAGAGGATACGGGTAGAATGAGCCACAGGAAATGGACACCCCTGGCAGCTGAGGCTGACCACCTGGGACAGTTTAGGATAGTTGACAGAAGGTCCCTGTGATCTGCAAATGCCCAGCCAGGCCTCAGAGCTCCTTGACCTCAGAACACCAATATGCTGCCATCTTCCAATTGCCCCTCCCTCTTTTCTTCCACCCCAGCTAAGAGATAGGAAAATGCCTGGGCAGGGAGGGGGCAAACTCAAACACTGGCACACCATCCGCAGCCACTTAAACCAAAGCTGGCAGTTCACGCAGAAGACAACACACCCACCAGAGGATTATGGCCACGGACATTTCTCCACTTGGGCACTGGCTCCTGTAACACCTGCAAGGAAAGAAAATATCAGAAGTCTACTGTTCCTCACGATTTGGGCACCCAGGGTAGACGAAAATAGTGGGGCAATCCTCTCTTCGAAGCCACAACTCTATCTAGACATGGCTTTCTCACAGGACTTCCAAAAATGAGCTGAGAACTCTGTGCATCCCTGAATACACACATACCACCCTTCTGGGTGCCCTGGGAGCTGAGGGCAAGGAAGGTTCTCTCAATATCTCCTTCAAGTGTTCCATCCCAGCCCTTAATGTCCCCATGCCAGGCTGGGCAGACAGGGGATAGAAGCCAAGACAGAAGCTACTTGAGGCACTTCCGGCTGTGGTTTAAGGCCCAGCTTGCCAGCTTGGGGGCTCTCGCGTGACCTCAGCAATTTGCTCTGCCTCCATTTCCTCCTTTGAACTCTGCATTGGGCCCACTGACAGCTAAGAGTCACGTTTCATTGGTTTACTCCCTAAACTGTTCCAGAGCCTTTCTAGGGGTACAGGTATGTGCTGGAAAGGATTTAAATGGTACTCTCAGGGCCAAGAATTTGAGAGTACCCAGATCTATCTGGAGGCCTGAAAGTGCATGTAAGCAGGTTCTATAGGTCACAAAAGACCAAAGGAAAGCAATGCATGGAACCCATGAAGAGTAACGTCCTCTGACACTTTATACGTCTGTGCCTTTGCTCATGCTGTTCCTTCTGCCCAATATGCCCATCTCACCTCAGTTCACATCAACTTTCATTACATAGAAAATTCCTATATATCCTTCAAAATCCAGCTCAAATATCCTTTCCTCTGTGAATCACTGCCTGCCCCTCAGCCCTCCATTGCTGTCCTGAGTAGCATATGCTGCACCACTCAGGCCCACCAGAGGCTGGTCACAGGCAGCCTTGACCTGTGCTCAATCTATGGCACTGCCATTCAATACTTACTGAGGACTCACTGTGCCAGGTGCCATGCTAGGCAAGAACAAAAACCACCTCCGCCTCTGCTTTTACGGAACTTGAAACTTACTGGGAGAAGCAGACCTTAATCGGATCATCACAGAAATCACATATTTTCAAACTTCAAGAAGAGGTGTAAAACAAAGATACAGAGGGGCCAGAAAAATCTACACCAAGGTGGGTAACCTAGCTGGGGAGGTCAAAGAGCATTGAGCTGATATCTGAAGGCTGAGTTCTTCCTAAAGCCACCAAAGCCCTTCTTCACGCTACAGAAAAACCAAACAAGGGTGTGGCCCCTGGAGCCAGACAGCCTGGGCTGGGACCTGGCTCTCTGCCACACACTAGCAGTGTGACCCTGGCCATTCATGTAGCCTCACTGAGCCTTGGTTTCCTCCTCTGCAAATGAGGTGATAATTGCACCGACCTCACTGGGACTACTCTTATGAGGATGAAATCAATTAGATAATATATTGAAGCCTCAACACAGGCATATAGTGCCTGGCATATAGTATTATCCTCATTAGATGTGAACTCCCATTGTTGTTATTTTTATTATTGTTGTCCATTGGCCCCAAGGTCTTACATAAGAACGTTAAGTGTTCCTAAAGTGCCATGTGGAGTTACACCACTCAGGTGTGTCAGGAGTCCCTAAGACCCCTGCCTCCCAAGGTTTGATTATTCACTACGAGGACTCACAGGACACAGAATATAGTGGTAATCACAGCTGAGATTTGTTACAGAGAAAGGGTACTAAACAAAATCAGCAAAGAAAAAGGGTGAACAAAGTCTACGAGGAAACCAGGCACAAGTGTCCAAAGGGCCTCTTCCAGGGGAGTCACCCAGGAAGCACTTAACTCCCCCAGTAGCAACCTGTGACAAGATGTGTGAGGTGGTGTTCCACCAGGGAAGCTGGCCCGAGCCTGGGAGTTCAGGGTTTTGATCAGAGCGCAGGCATGTAGGCAGTCTCTGGCCGGCACATCCAAAAATTCCAGACTCCCAGGAAGAAAGCAGGTGTCCAGACTAAACCATATTGCTTGCACAGACAGTTTAGGCACAGAGAGCCACTTCTATCAGTTGGGAAATGGTGGAATTCTCCCAAAATCGAAGTTCCTACACGCCAGGAAGGGCCAACCTCACAAACAAGCCTCTCCGAGGACAGCAGTCTTGGGCCTGTGAACTCTTTCCTGCACAAACAAGACAAGGGCTACAGAATGTTTATTCTTTTTACCAAACCATATATATGTTTAATAGAAGTAAAAAGCAAGAAGGGAAAGAAGGAAAGAAAAGACTCCAAAGGTATGAAAATTGTAGGATCTATAGTGACAAAAAAGAGCCATAAACAGAAAAAATTACACCGCAGGGAATTACACCGGATAGATTTTAATCTACGAGGGAGAAAAGTCAGGGTCTTAGTGTAGAGGCACTTCTTCAGGATCTGTGAGGTTATTTTGAGTGACTGGCTGTAAATGAACTAGAGATTATGTTAACTGGCTCCCCATGGCAATACTCTGTAGCGTGCACATGGATATCACAGATGTGACACCATAATATGCTCCCCACTCTCAACAGTCTGACTTCCTTCTCCACATGCAGACCCCTCTTAACCAGAATGCAGGAAAGTCTATACCTGCACTGTCTGACACGGTGGCCAGGAGCCACTTAGAGCTATTACAAACTTCAAATGTGACTAGTCCAAATTGAGATACACTGTAACTATAAAATATGTTCCATATTCCAAAGACCTGGCATGAAAAACAGAACGTGAAATAATTCACTGATGATTTTTATATTGATTACATGTTGACATGATAACATTTAGATTACGTAAAATTAAATATTTGGGTTTGTTCGGGTTTTTTTTTTTTTAGCAAAACCATTAGAATTTTACATTACATATGTGGCCTGCATTATATTTCTATTGGATATGGCTGGTCTACACCCTCTGTAAGTCATGCCATCAAGCTTTTACAGGTTCTTTCAGAGCCGGTGCGGAGGCCGTACCTCAATCCCTGTTGTTTTGGAGAAGAACTCGAGGCATGTCGTCTTCCCACTTGCAATATTGCCCTCAACACAGATCTAACAAAAGACAAATACAGATTAGAATCGAAAGTCGAGCATCTAAGTGAGCATCAGGGAAGAATTTCTAGGGAACGGTTCACGTGAACAGCATAACTGGTTCAGTCCAAGAGTTCAATGTGCACACAGAATTCCCTCCACAGGAAATACCCAAGGTCCCACCATTAGTAGTAACAAACTGATTCCCACCCCTGGTGGTCAGCTCCAGGCCCACGATTGGTGGCCGCTGGTGGCCACTGGGCCACTGCCCTCCAAGACAGACCCTCCCTTACATTCCTTCCTAGGCCATACATTGCTTGCCACTGGCCACCCTAGCTCTGCCCTTCCCTTGCTCAGCCCCTCAGACCATCAGATTTTAGGCCTAAGGGTCCAGCCTCCTTAACAAGAGCCTAATGGCTTTGAGGTTGGGAAGCATGTATATGTTATCTAGAACTCTTTTTTTGTAAATTTAAAAAAAACTTTTTTTTTTTTAACGTTTATTCATTTTTGAGAGACAGAGAGAGACAGAGTATGAGCAGGGAAGGGGCAGAGAGAGAGGGAGACACAGAATCTGAAGCAGGCTCCAGGCTCTGAGCTGTCAGCACAGAGCCCGACGCGGGGCTCGAACTCACAAACTGTGAGATCATGACCTGAGCCGAAGTCAGACGCTCAACCGACTGAGCCACCCAGGCGCCCCTGTTATCTAGAACTTAACTCACTGCTTTACATGGAAGAACACACTCAGCTATGGACTGGAAAATATTCAGACTGGAGAGAAGGTTGAGCACCTTGCAGTAGGCCAGGCCCAAAGATGGGCAACATACACCGTTACCACATTTCACCTTGCCAGAACCCAAGCAATGGGTCCTAACACTTTCACAGAAGTGAAAAATGAGGTTTGTAGAAGGGCATAAAGCAGAAAGCACAGCTGGAACCCACACTCTGCAGACACTAACTGCAGTGGGAGAGAGGGCTCACAGACAGCCATGAGGGCACAGTGACCTTTAAACTCAGGCCGGAGGCACCCAGAGAGACGTGGCCCACGTATGTGACTTGCCCAAGGCACCAGGCCTGGCGGAGGGAAAAGACGGAATCACACCTAGGTCTGGCAGACCCCTTTTCACGACCCCAGGGAAGCCTCAGTCACACCCCACATAAAACGCGGGGTCACAGTGGGCCATCTCACCTTGTTCCCTCACTATAAATTCCGCCAGTCAGCTGTGACTATTTCCTCCTGCCCTGATCCTAATGGGTATCGAGGAAGGCTAGACAACGACACTTCTAACAGATGCCAGCTCACTCCCATAGAACTCAACACCGCAAAATGAACTCAACCGAGTGCACAAAAGGCATATCCCATCAGGGCAACTAATGGATATGATGTTTTATTGCTGTTCTGTAAAGGAAACAAATTATTCTCTTCCCAGAAAATGAGAACAAGCTCAGCCTAGACACTGCTCTGCACAGACTGTTTCTTTCCTGTTCACTGCAGGAAACATATTGCTTGGATGAGACCTTCCTCCAAAAGGGCGTGTTCCTATTCCGTGGTGGTGACTAACTTCACGGTTGCAGGTCAGCAAAGATGAGGACTTGAAGCGCCCTGTCTGGTGGCTTGTCCCCTGGGCACCTCAGTTTGTCACCTCCCAATACCCACATATGGCTCTTCTTCCTGTTCCAGTCCTCAGGAAAGGCTGCACCATCCACCTAGACAACCCAACACCCTGGTGTCTTCTGTCTTCACCCAGTAACTCAGCAACTCCTCTGGACCCTGCTTCCTACTCATCTGCAGAACCTGGGCCTGTCTCCCTGGCCCCTACCCTATGTGGCTGGAGTGGCTTCCCCACTGGCCTCTCTGCCTTCCACTCTGGCCCGGCAGTGACCCTCAACTCCACCCATGGCCCACCACCATCTCTTCCTGAGAGGCAAAGTCTTTTAGTGGCTCCAGGTGTTGGGAACTGTCTCCACACTCCCATGCCAGCTCTCAGGGGACCGGCCAAAGCTTTGGGCCTACAGGGTCTCTTCCTTCTATGACTCACACTTGCAGCGCCCTCTGCTCCAACACTCCAGCCTCCCCCTTTCCTTCATCTCCCAGGAGGCCTCAAGGCTCCCCAAGTTCCCCTCAGTCACTGTCCTCTGGACGCTCTGCCCTCTACTCACAGCCCCCAGAATCACTGCTGTTCCAGATCCACCATGGCCCTAGTTACTGCTGTCTCTCCGATCAGACCAGGGACTGACTAGTGACAGGGGCTGCTTGGTCCCCAGATCCACACAGGAACGGAGAAGATTTGAACGATAAACAATAGCCACGGGCCTAAATGCAGGCTCCATACCACTTCTAATGGACCTACTGTGTGCCTGAGGCATGTTGAACCATACCCAGAAAGCAGCCAGGGTAAGTCTGGCTCACATCAGTGCCTAGCTCAGTAATTAACAGCACAATAATGTATCAATTCTCATTCAGCTCAACATTCTACCCCCTTCTCCTTCTGTGGTGTCAGAATCCACCCCACCTCTCATTTCAACATACTTTGGTAAATCTCAAGGCTCCCAATCACCAATCCTCTCCACGTGACTTTATTCCATCCTTGGCCTTCTCCATCATCCCGAATACCCAGGGCACTTGCTCACCTTTTCTGCCCTCTGCAGATACCAGCCAAGTTATTCCTGCCACCATTCACCAAGCCACTTTCTTCTGAGCCACAGAAGCTACCGACTTCTGGCTCCCTCAAGAAACTGAGCCTCTGGATTGATGGTGACCAAAATATTGTTCCTCACCCCAGCCAGCTAAAGTCTCCAACATCCCCATGAACATGTCCAGCTTGGCCGTCCTTTGACCTTCAACCTCACACCAGTCCCAGTCCCATGCCAGAGCTGGCATCTCAAAGTCACGACACTGACTGAACCCATGTCTGGGGACCCACATGGATTCTCTCTGGTATCCCCACCCACCCATCTCAGCACTGGAGGACAGGGAGCAGCAGTCAGCAGATCTTCCCTCACAGCCAGGCTGCCAACCACTAACCCAAAGTGAAACCAATCTTTGCCAGAAGGTGAGCATTTTTCAAATCCCTTTGTAATCATTCATCAAGCTGACAATCCAAATCTACCTAAAGGCTGTGAATACATGTATGCTCCTACCTGCGCAGACTCTTGATATGGAACCTCATAAGAGGTGGCCTCTGGGAAGGGGGTCTGAGGCCCAGGGGTGAAGACAGACTTCCTCATCCCTGGAGATCCTCTTATATTTTTGTTTTTTACTATGTGCACATATTTCTTCACTCACCTCTTCTCTCTCCTCTCTCTCTCCCTGTGCATATACAATCCTCCCGCTCTCTGTATATAATCCTACACTGAGGAGTGCACATAAAAGAGGGACTTACCACTGATTTTTTCTCTTTTTCATTTTCTCTATCTTTATCTATAAAAGAAAGGAAATCAATTTTTAAAGTCAGCTTTAAGTAATTCACTCTTCTTTGTCCTAGTTTTCAAAACCACCACGAAAAAGTCATGTTTACACTTACTCCCTGGCCTAAAAATGTTTTCTGATGACATCTGAGTCCCTCCATGGGTGGATGGAGGCAGACCCACCACTGTTGTCTACCTACATGGACACTGTGCAGCTGCTGCCCGGATCCTGTTGGCACCTCTGGGCCCCAACTGTGCTCAGCTTTTTTCACGTAGTATATCATACTTTCCATTTTCCAAATATTTCATATTTATGGTCCTCACAGATGGGTCCAGTAAGTTCAAACAGAGTAGCCACCAGTGGGACGCGAGGGTTAAGAGTGGGCAGCAGGCATGGGTTTCAGCCCAGGGCTGACACCTTGGCCCAACCACCACACAGGTGCCACCCAACAACCCGAGGCCAAAGAACACTAGGATTTGGCTATAATGGTGACTCCCATTTCTGAAAGGGGAAGTCCCTAGTCCCAGGGGCAGCAGAAAGGCTCAGAGCCTAAACCACCCACCACCCACCGGGAACTTGTTAACTTGCAGCTGCCAGCCTCCGTCTTCCCCAAGGCCAAAAGAATCAAGACCAAGAGTGGGACGGGGACTGGGGCAGCGCGCACTCGCGGGGGTAGCGGATCCTTCTGCTCTCTATAGGGCTCCCCAGCTCCGAACAGAGAGGGGCCGGGGCCCCACGGCCCCACCCACTGGCGGCCACCCACTGGCGGCCGGCTGGGGTCTGGAGTAGCTGTCAACGATTGCCCTCGCCCCTCCAAGCCCCCGCAGGAAATCCCGGAGGCTTGGAGTAGTTTCGGGTTCAGGCCAGAGGGCGGGGAGTGAGACGGGCAGCCGCTGAGACCCAAGGCGCGGGTCGCTAGACATGGAACCGAAAGAGGCGTTACCCAGAGGCCAGGCCCGGCGCTGCGCCCCCCGCGTCCCGGGGCCCGAGGCGGGGCTCCCAGTCCCCCCGCGCCGCAGCGCCTGGGCGGCCCAGCACCGCAGCGACCGCGGCAGCATAGCCCGGCGGGTGGATCCGGCGGCTCCGTTTCCTTCCTGCGCCACTCAGCGCCAGCGCAGCGCGCCGCCTCCATCCCCGCGCCGGCTGCCGGGGCGCCTGCTGGCGCCGGGCTCTTAAAGAGACCCTGTCGTATTTCACCCTCTCTCCCACCCGGAAAGTACTTCAAGGTGTAGGCAAAGCCGTTTGCAGCCAGGACATCTTCCCGCCGACGCGACCCCTGACTTGGCAAGACTTGAGGGACGGATGGCCAACAATACCAACGACTGGTTGGTTAATAAATTATTGGAGATTACTTAATCGAGCACGTGTTCTATCCAGGCACCTGGCACATACTTAGGGTATCATTTATTCTTCTCAACGATGATCCTCCAAAACTTAGGTAACTTGATTAAAATGATCAGAAGCATTCATTAAAGGGATGAAGCCATGTATCTTGCTTCACAGCCTCTTCCCTCTGAACTTTGACATGTCCAGGTTCTAGACTGTAAATGTACTAGATCGCTCAAGAAAGTGTTAAAAAAAAAAAAAAAAACAGGAAACAGGTCCAAAATGGGAGTTGCTTATGCTAAGCCCTAGCTGACCAAACCAAGATTTAATTGTAGTTTGGGCTCTCCCAGAAATGAACCCTTAAGCCAGTCCATCAGGAATCGCCTGATCAACACTAGTTATGTAATCTGCCCCCTAGACCCCTGCCATCCCCTACAGCAAAGTAACCTAAAAATAACCAACCCGCTTTTTTGCCTGTGTAGCTTCCTTGTTCTCACTTCCTTTTGCCTATAAAAGTTTTTTATTTTGTACAGCTCCTCGGAGCTCCTTTCTATTTGCTAGACTGGATGCCACCTGAATCATATCGATTTTTGCTCAAACTCTTAAAATTTTAATATACCTCAGTTTATCTTTTAACAAAGAAAGGCACAACCAATATGCCAACTGTGCAGACAACTGGGGGTGGGAAGGAAGCCTGTAAATCCCATCCATAGTCAGGTAGCAAAAATTCAGCCCAGGTGTGAGGTAGATGGGTATATATAATTCAACAGGCCCAGGCCCTGAAACCCAAGCTGCTGCAGTAAGAACTGTGTGTGCATGCCCATTCCAGTGCTTAAGTGGGGGGATTTCCCACCTCTCCCAGAAGTGCAAGGTGCTAGCAGTCACCTCTAGGACAGGGAAGAGGACGTCATTTATGAGAGGTTTCACTCAGTCTCTAATCAGCTACCCGAAAGCCACAACCTCATCTAGTGCTTTCTGTGATATCTGCCACAGACCTAGCACAGGGCAAACGTGCCCTCCACAAACTTCAGGATTAAGTGCAACATTTTTGGGACTTGGGATGAAGCTGTTCGATCAGACTGTGATACCCTGGGGACAAGGACAGGGTATAAGGCCCAGGCCATTAGTTTAGATTACACATATTCTACATCTATTATGTGTCAGACCCTGGGGACCTTGCAAGGAGAGAAACAGACACAGGCAAGCCCCTGGTTTTGTGCAATTTATATTCTTAAATATATCACCTAGTGATAAGTGCTATGAAGAGAAAGTGATGGTGGCTACTCTAGACGGAGTGACCAAGGGAAATCCACTCTGAGGGGTGTTATTTGAGATTCCCAAAGTCTGGGGTTGCCCAGCAGGTATTCCTGAACTCCACCCCCCCTCCCACCCCCATCCCGCACCCACCTCCGGAAGCACTCCCAGACAGGAAAACCCATATGGACTGCTGGAGAGCAGTTGTCATTGGTGCCTGGTAGTGCGAGATGGGGCGGCATTAAGAGGGACCAGCCAGCGTGGTTCCCCATAGGCCAGTGGAAATGTAGCAGGCAAACCCCACCAGTTCGGGGAGAGAGGGAGAGAGAGGGAGTAAGAGGGAGAGAGAGAGAGAGAGAAGGCGAGCGAGGCGAGCAATCCGCTCCCGTGGGGCGCATGCGCCCGAGTGCAGACCGCGGTGACGTGCGAGCGCGCGAGGGCGGGAATCCTAGAAGGGCCGCGGGCGGTGGCTGTGACAGTTGCGGTCGCCGCGCGAGGACTGGCGGAGCCGTGCGCTGAGGAGAAGGTCTGAAGGAAAGAAGCGTTGTTGCTGGGTCGGCTGCGAGCGCGATGCAGACGCTGAAGCAGAAGCATCGCCCCTTCTGCTTCAGCGTGAAAGGCCAAGTGAAAATGCTGCGGCTGGTGAGGCCAGGCCACCGGGTGGGGGCGGTGTTGAAGCGTGCTCAAGGGCAGCGGGAGATGGCTCTCAAGTACAAAGCGGAATCCCCTGCCTTCTCTTTCTTTTAAGTTTTTTTTTTTTTTTTAAGTTTATTTATTTTTGAGAGACAGAGACACAGCGCGAGTGGGACAGGGGCAGAGAGAGAAGGAGACACAGAATCTGAAGCAGGCTTCAGGCTCTGAACAGCACAGAGCTTGAGGTGGGGCTCCAGCCCTCCGAGCCGAAGTGGGAGGCTCAACGGACTGAGCCACCCAGGCGCCCCCCCCCCGGCCTTGTCGTTCACCCTAGGCCTGCCGAGAGGCAAGGCAGTTGACTGCGCACCCGGGGGCAGAAGGAGAGAAGGCACTGTCTGCCCTTCAGGGGTTCACGGACACAGTCACAAAGCAAAGTGCGCAGGTCTGCACGAGTGGCCTCCACGTGGCCCTGCACACCAGCCACCCAGGTTACCAGGCCAGGCAGCTGTGCTTATAGCCCGCAGAGGACAGTGGGGCTGCCCGCTTCGTGGCATCAGGCATGGCGAGCGCCCTGCACTCAGTTCTGAACGGAGGTCTGGAGAGAGAATGAGCCATGATTTGGAGGAAGGTGCCCTGGCTGGTTAGAGCAGTAGAGACTGTCACGGGAGAATATGTTGAAGGAACTCAAGAAAAGAAAAGGAGAAGGAAAAAATAATGTTTACATTTTTTTTTAATTTTTTTTCAACATTTATTTATTTTTGGGACAGAGAGAGACAGAGCATGAACGGGGGAGGGGCAGAGAGAGAGGGAGACACAGAATCGGAAACAGGCTCCAGGCTCCGAGCTCCGAGCTCCGAGCTGTCAGCACAGAGCCCGATGCGGGACTCGAACTCACGGACCGTGAGATTCTGACCTGGCTGAAGTCGGACGCTTAACCGACTGCGCCACCCAGGCACCCCAATAATGTTTACATTTTAAAGCGGTGACCTCTCTCTTTAAAGGAGGGGATGGAAATAGAAGTTACAGGGAAACAGTTCCACTTAATACGAGGGAGAATTGTCTATCGGGAAAGTTGCCCAAATTAAGTGGCCACACCACTTGGGAAGGGAGTACATTCCTGAACAGCCAAAGCTAACAGGCATAGATGAGCGAGTATGCTGTAAAGGAGATTCACACTTCAGGTGAGTGGGTAGAACAAATTGCACACAAGGTCCCTCCCACACCAAAAGTCTGTGATTCTGAGAAACAACTATAACTTAATACAAGTCAGAACGCGTAAGAGAGGTTTAGAAAATTACTTTAGGGGCGCCTGGGTGGCGCAGTCGGTTAAGCGTCCGACTTCAGCCAGGTCACGATCTCGCGGTCCGGGAGTTCGAGCCCCGCGTCAGGCTCTGGGCTGATGGCTTGGAGCCTGGAGCCTGTTTCCGATTCTGTGTCTCCCTCTCTCTCTGCCCCTTGCCCGTTCATGCTCTGTCTCTCTCTGTCCCAAAAATAAATAAACGTTGAAAAAAAAATTTATAAAAAAAAAAAAAAGAAAATTACTTTAGAGTTCGAAGAACAGAGAGATTACTTTGGGTTAGGAGTAAATAATCAGGGAAGAAGTGGCCTCAGGGTCTGGAGTTTTATGCCCACTACTGGAAGCTCTGGAACACTGGAGGAGAAACAAGATCTTGTGAGAAAGGTTTAGTTTCAGACATATCAGTTCCTGCAACAAACATCTGGAGTATTTAGTTATATTCTAAAGATCTGACTTGGGCCCTGGAACAACGAAGACAACCAAAACAAAAGTCTCTGACTCACGGAATTTCTTCAGTGTAGTCAAAGAGACAGACCTATGAGCAGAGCCATACATAATATGTGAGAAGATGGGGATAGGCCAGAGAGTGAGACATATAACCAAGGACAAGATAAAGAGAGGTATCATGAAACTTCCTAGAGGAACAAAGGGTGGGGTCTGAAGGACAGCCACCTGAGCAAATACATGGAGGCAAAAAAACCCAGCATGATTTATGCAGCAAATTTTTTTTTGACTTGTGTAATGTTTTTACTTTTGAGAGACAGAGGACATGTGGGGGAAGTGCAGAGAGAGTGGGGGAAAGAGGATCTGAAGCAGGCTCCGCGCTGACAGCAGCCACCTGATGTGAGGCTCAAACTCACAAACCGGAAGATCATGACCTGAGCCAAAGTCAGACACTCAACCGACTGAGCCACCCAGGCGCCCCTGTGCAGCAAATTTTAACAAGTTGAGCATTGTTTTATTTTTTTCATTCAACAAATATTTATTGAAAGCCTACCATGTTCCAGGCTCTGAGATATCAGTGAACAAAGCAAAGATCCCTAGCCCTTAACAGAGTTTACATATTGGGGTGGGAGGGTGGGGAGACAGACGGTAAACACAATAAATAAATAAATGATGCAGTATTCTAAAAAGTGGTACGTGCTGTGGAACAAGAGACAAGTAAAGCCAGGGAAAGGAGTGTAAGGGGAGGAAGGTTGCAGGTTGCAGTAATAGAGTGATCAGGTTAGGCCTTGTTGAGATGACAACTGAGCAGCTGAGTGAGGCTAGGGTGTTAGCTATGAGAATACCTGGAGGAAAAGAGTTTAAGGCAAAGGAACATCCATGGCTCTGTGACAGGAATTTACCTGAAGTTTCGAGAAAAAGCAAGGAAACCAATGTGGATGGAGTAGAGTGACACAGTAGGGGGACACAGTGAGAGATGAGGAAGGTTTTGAGTAAGGTTGTACATGAGCTGACATTAAAAAAAAAAAAAAATAGGCCAGCTGCTATGTTGACAATAGATTGGTCTGGGGGACGGGGCGGTGGGGTGGGGTGGGAATTGCTGCAAGGGCAAGGGTAGAACCAAGGAGACCAGTTAGAGCTCTTGCAGTAATCTGGGCAATGAGATAGTAGCTCAGATCAGGATGTAGCACAGCAGGCTGCAAGAATGATCATATTTGGGATACATTTTGAAAGTAGCCCCAACACAATTTGCTGATGAACCAGATGAGGTGTAAAAAAAAAAGAGGAGTCAAGATAACTCCCAAGTTTTTGGCCTAAGCAACTGGAAGGGTGGAGTTGCCATCCACCGAAAGCTTGTAGGTGAAGCAAATGTAGGCAGAGGATCAGAAGTTTAATTTCAGAATTAAACACTGGAATTATCCTGTGGATAAATTGTGAAGAAACTCTGCTAGAGAAGTGGACAGGAGCTGAATCCTTTAAGACTGAATACCATGATGAGAGGTAGGCTCTATTCTCAAGACCACAGGGAGCCTTTGAGAAATGCACTTGCATTTTAGAAATTTTACTGTAATACCTACCTTTGTCATCATAGTTCAGGGAAGATATTGAAGGGCATTAGTTTAGGGATGAAGAGGAGGGAGTGAGTTCCCAAGACATTAGGCATCAAATCAGCAGGACCTGATGATTGATCAGTTGTGAGGAGTAATTAGGAACACTGATATTAGGATTTTAGGGTGGGTGATAAGATAGATGGTGGTATCTGGGGCACCTGGGTGGCTTGGTTGGGCATCGGACTCTTGATTTTGACTCAGGTCATGACCTCACAGTTCATGGGATCGAGCCCTGCATCAGGCTCTGTGCTCACAGTGCAGAGCCTGCTTGGGATTCTCTCTCTTCCTCTCTCTCTGCTCCTCCCTCACTGGCTCTCTTGCTCTCTCTCTCTCAAAATAAATAAATTAAACTTAAAAAAAAAAAAAAGATAGATGGTGGTATCACCAATTAAGATAGTGCATACAGGAGGGAAAGGCAAGGTGAGTTCAATTTTGGCGATGGTGAATTTGAGATTCCTGCAGGTACTCAGAGATTGCAGATGGCTAGTTACGTGTAAGATGTTGAGGACAGACCTGGGAGAAAGACCCACATTCACTGAGTGGGTCATAGACAGAATCTAAAGGAATGCCAGCATTTTAAAAGAATGAGTAAAGGCAGAGAAGCCCACCAAGGGAGAATAGTTGCAGAGATATAAGAACTAGGAGAGGTGACATGCCAGCCCAAGGAGTAGAAAAACAGGAAAAGACAGCCAATGACAAGTCATGAGGGTCCAGTTGCATAAGGAGTAAAAAATGTTCATTAAATTTAGTATTTCTGAAATCACTGATGATCTGAGGAAAAGCAATTTCCATAGAGTGGTAAAAGAAATGTTTGAGATATTAGTGGGATATTTAAAAGAGAACAGGAGACAAAGGCCAAGAGTTAGTAAAGATAGAAGAGCTGTAAATAATGGAACAGGGGAGAACTCAGTGTAACTGAAATCATGGGAACTTGTAAGAAAATGGATTAAACACCAATGTCAAATTCCATGGTGTGGAAAGTTTAAAGGGGATGAGGGCTGAAAAAGTGACCCTACGTATCATAACCCATGAGCTCAAGAGGGCGGTTCAGTAGAGTAAATGAAGTGGTTTGAGGTGACATGTTGCTAAGAGTAATTATGTTAATTACAAAGAATGACTTATTTAGTTACTGGTTACATTTGCTACATACTCAAACTGACCAATTTAGAAGCTTAAAGGTAGGCTGTTTGTATACGAATACGGTAATTGAAAGAATCATAAATAAGTAGCCTGAATAGATTTAAGGTCAAAAAGACTATGTAGATGGTACTGGCTGACAGACTAATCATAAAAGTCTAGCCAGGGAAAACTCTTGACAAAACCATTTTCCAAGAACATAGAGACTTTGGATAGAGCTGTAACATGACAGCTCCTAAGAACATGATGTTGACAGACTCCCTGGAACTTATCAGCTTATTTTTCTTTTAGTTCACTTTAACATTTCTGTGTTCTGTATCTTCACTTGGAAATGAGGTGATTGGATTAGATTAATTATCAAGGTTTTTTTCACTTAAAATTTTCATCCATTCTGATTGCATTCTATCTAGGTAAGAGAAAGTATGTAAAAAAAAAAGTGAAGCATCAGAATTGTTGCATTTTTTTAATCCCCCCCCCCCCATAGGGTTCTTCGGAGAATTGTTTTTCTTAGGAATTTATTTTAAAATTTTCTCCCCAGTATTTTTCATGGTAATATTCTAAGTTTAAATTTGATAGTAGATTCCAGACTGCTAAGAGTTAAGGAGTGATGAGCAGATGATAAGGAATTCTAGGAGTCAGTATACAGACTTTTCTGAAAAGCATTACAGCGAGAAGTAAAAAACAGGAGTTTCTTTGGGGACCAGGATGAATGGAAGGGGTGTGTGTGTGTGTGTGTGTGTGTGTGTGTGTGTGTGTGTGTGTTTTAAGAGAGGACAACTTGGATATGTTTATAGTATGATGAAGAAAGGAACCAATGAGAAGATATTGAAGGTCTCAGAAAAGAAGATAGGTAGTAAAGAAAGATCAAGGGGACAAATGTGGGAAGTGATGGCATTAGTTCTGCAAGTGGAATAACAGAGAGGGACACCTAGTTCTCTAAAACAGAAGGAGAAGTCAGCATCCATACATTTTGGTCATTCCTCTTTTAGATGTGTGTATATATGGCATAAACCCATTTATTTAGTTACTTTAGAAATGATCATTTTTACAATTTAAACTTAGCATTCAATAATCATTGAATAAATCATGTTTGTCTGTTTTTATCCTTATAGGCACTAACTGTGACATCTATGGCTTTTTTTATCATTGCACAAGCCCCTGAACCGTACATTGTCATCACTGGATTTGAAGTCGCTGTTATTTTCTTTTTCATAATTTTATATATGCTGAGACTGGATCGATTAATAGACTGTTTGTTTTGGCCTTTGCTTGTAAGTGTTCAGTTTTATTAGACTTTTTTCCTGTCATAGTGAGACATCTTAATAAACTATGCTTTGGTTTTCTTAAGCCTTTAGGTAATGTCTGATAGGCTTAGGAAGGAGGAATTCTATCCACTGCTAATGTGTTCTGTATTGTCCCTGGTGCAACCACAGAGCATAAATCTGAGCTCCATCTATTAGATGTGACTGACCCTTCTGTCAGGAGAATTCACTGAACTGTAGATCTTCTAAAGAAATTTAAACTTAAGATCCTAGTTAATAAAATTATAGCACATTCTTAATCTCTACCTCCCTTTTAAATACATGTTGATATGGCCTCAAAATTGGGGGGAGAGATGGAGGCAGATACCCAAGTATCCACGTCTTGCACATCTCTGACCACCAAATGGAAAACTGAGATAATTTGGGAGACTGAATAAAGCACAATGTTATCTTACTTAATTCTGGAAACACTAATGCTAAATAATGAACTTATACTGTACAACCTTATTTAGTAGCATATGAACTTCACCTGCCATACTTATAGCATTAAGAATAACTGCCCAGTGTAGTGCCTAAATGGTTCTAGAAACTGTCAAAATAGGCAAGTTGAAGATACTAGTTAAGGTGAATGTGTCCCTGGATTGTTACCCAGTTCTAGGAAAAACAGAGTGTCGTTACCTCTCTCTCCTCTTTCAAGTCTTACCCTCAATATCCTGTCTCTGTAGGTCTCCCTTCTGAGACCTCCTGCTGCCCTTCCCACCTTTAGACTGGTAGCTGCACTGAAGTCTTCCTCTGCTGCACTTGTCTCATCCTCCTGGGTTCCAAAATGCTGATAGCCAAGCTGATAACCCCTAGTTAAGGAGAGGGACTTTAGAGCTATTCTCAAACCATAAGCATGCCTTCAGGTGGTACCTTCTAGAACCACTTTTGAAGGCCAGTGATGAATGTTTCAAGCTAATCACAAGCTGAACAGATCCCAAAAGGGGAAAGCTGGGAAACAGAGAAGATCTTCATAGCATCTCTCCAAAGTACTTGATCACACTTTAGAGCTGGACCTGACTGGAGGGAAGTCTAGGAAAAGAGATCACAATGCCTTCATCAGTTGACCCTCAGAGTACATAATGTCATTTAGTAGCAGAAAGGGCTAAGCTAAATTATTCCAGAGATTTCTGCAAGGACATGAACAGCATGGCCCATATCCTCTTTACTCAAAAAATGGTATAGTTGCTCTTCACATTCTGCTTTCCAAGGTTAATAAAACTATTTATTTTTCTCCAAACTAATTCTCTGGAGCTTATTACATGTCCCAGTAATACACTTGGAGCTCTAAGCTGAACAGAACACACTGGGAGGGAGAGTGTCCTATGTGTACCACACTGAAATTTAGTCTCCAAATCTCTGAGGATCAAACTTTGCTGATATTGTAATCTCTTAGAAATGGTGCTATACTGGGGCACCTGGGTGGCTCAGTCAGTTGTGTCTGAATCTTTATTTCATCTTCGGTTTTGATCTCAGGTTCATGTGTTCAGTCCCTGTGTTGGGCTCTGCGCTGGGCATGAAACCTACTTAAAAAAAAAAAAAGAAATAGTGCTGCATGGTCAACTATGGGATTATTATTCCATTATGAAAAGATTCCTCTCTGCTCTTGATCTAATGGAATCATTTGTTCAACAAGTGTTAAGTGTCTGCTAATCCCAGCTTCTGTAACAGGTTCTTTGATAAAACACAAATCTTACACCTGTGAGATTTTCAATGTAGTCAAGAAGCAAGATAGATAAGCCATTCAGTGTAACAGGTGCTGCAATAGATGTATACCCAGGATAGTGTGGAGGCACCAAACCAGGGAAGGGGACCAAATCATCATAGGCTTGCTTGCCTGGTAGAAGAAGCAGCATATGAGGGTCTAGTGGGGGGAAAGAGCATGACCTCGAGCAGCTGCACGTAGTTCTGAATGGCTGGGATATTGAGTTGTGGAGAAGAGAGGACAAGAGTGGAAGCTTGAGAGGCAGGAGGAGGTCAGAGCATACAAGGCTTTATATGCCCTGTGTTTTAACCCAAAGGCCATTGGAAGCTTTTAGAGTTTTTTAAGTAGGAAAATGGCATGAGCAGCTTACAATTTAGGGGATTGCTGGTGGCAGTATCAATAATGGCTTAAAGAGCAACAAAACTAGAGGTAGGTCTCAGAGACCACTTAAAAGTTTGGTTCTATAACCCTGACATGAAAATTATGAAGGCCTGGACTAAGGTCATGACAATAGCTGGGGAGAAAGGGGTTAATGGGGTAGAAGTGATATGAATAGGTAAATAAGAAAAACTAAGAATACCTGCCACTTAAATATCTTGAGATGATAATGAGATAAGAAGTACAGGAAGAAGAAGAGGTTTAAGGAAGGGCCAGGGAGACGAATGGAATGAGTTTAGTTAGACAAATACTAGGTTCTAGTTGCTTATGGAGTATTCAGATGGAAATGTTCAAAACAGGTCTGAAGCTCAGGAGAAAGAAGAGTTAAACCTGGAAGTCACCACCTTATGATGGTAAATGATCTCTGAGACTGGTCTAACTGGCACAGAGGGAAGAGCAAGCTGAAGGTAAAACTGGGAAAGACGAACATATGGGGTGAAAAGGAAGAGTAGCCAGAGAAAGACAGGAGAGAACCCAAGGGAGGCCCGTGTCACAGAAGGCAAGAGAGGAAAACATTTCAAAAAGGAGTGGTGAATATTACCACATGTAAAGAAAGAAAAATAAGTCCTGGAAAAATATATATATTCACTGACTGTGTTAATAGAGGCCCCTTTACCAGAGTGGTGTGCCTTGAGTGGAGAGGTGATAGTAAAGCTGAGGCAATAGATTGAGCAGGAGAAGAGAGACAACTATAATTACAATTGTAACTAGAGTTGTAACTCAGGGCTACTGAGTTGAAACCTGGCCAGGGACAAAGAAGGGTAATGAATAGAATAAGGTGCCTGCAGAGTGGTGGATGGGAATAGGAGCCAGAGCACAGATGGAGGAGATGCCTGGAACTCTTTTACTGTAACAAAAGTGAAGGAGACAAAGATGGCTGAAGATTCCAATTAATCTTGCAGTTGTAACTTGTAAGGACTTCTGCCTCATGACCACTGTCTTTACTAATTTAGGAAAGGGCTTGGTCATATGCATTCACATTTATTATGTTTATCATTGTCCCAAAGTTGCAGTAACCGACACAGTGTGTAGAGCTGGCCTTCTCTGACTGTTAACCTTAAGTGTTCCAATGACAGAAAACACAAAGTGAACCAGCCCAGGGCTTTGCAGTGGTATCCAAGTGCAAGCTCAAAATTTCTGTGAAATCTCCATTTTTGTAATTAAATTAACATTCTACACCATGGTATATTGATGTTTGGTTTTCATTATAAACACAATGCTTTAAATGACTATTAAGGATCATTGATGTTTCAAGACAGGTACATCCTTTTCTATCCTGTGGTTCTCTACATTCCCTAGAATACCACCTTTACCCAAGGCCATTCATATACACTTACCTGAATTACTCACTGGAGGCAGGGTTGTCTACCTGAAGTAGAGGTGTGGCTTGCCTTGAAGCAGAGCAAAGTATCCAACACAGAGAAGCATTAATCTAGGACAGTTAATATTTCTTGCAAATGTGAACTTTCTTCTTTTGTGCATCTAATCTTACCCTGTCCCCATTGAACCTCTTCCTATTTTCTTTTTAATAACTATGTTTCTAAATTACCACGGGTTTAAAGTCTGATATTTCTATGTTAACAATACCTTCCTGCCTACAGTTACCTGCAAACAGATGTAAACCATCCAGAATAGACCATTTTTCTTTTCCACATTATACATCCATTCAAAATATAAGTTGCTTCCTTTAAAGCCATTGTTCAGAAGGCAAATGCTTTGTTTCTAGAAATTATAAATGAATGAGCTACATCATCAAATAATAGCATAATCAGCCAGCCATTTCATGCAAATCTGTGAAAGTTTTTTCCTGAAAATTACCACTTTCTGCCAAGTGTGTGTAGCTTTTCTTATTAATTGCATTTTAGTAACGTTATAAAGTTGTTTCATTTACAGTTTAAACTATTCCACATTTTCTCTTAGCATTTCGGCTTCCCAGTGTACCATTCTATTGTAAACCTTCCACACAATATATCATCTGCTCCCAACTAGATGAGTTCTCCCTCCACCTACATTTAAATAAAAAAGAAATAGATTAGGATGGCAGAGGAGTAGGGCAACCCTAAGCTTGTCTTCTCCCCCAAACAGCTAGAGAAATCAATTTGAACACCTAAGAAATCAATCAGAAGTTTTAGAGAACAAAGCTGCACATCTACAAATGGAAAAAACAACCTGTTGGAGATGGAGGAATTCACACCAAAAGAACAGGAAGAAAAAATGGCCAAGGATTTAATCATACAGATATAAATAAGATGTTGGAACTAGAATTTAAAACAACAATTACAAGGATTCTAGCTGGGCTTGGAAAAAGCATAGAAGACTCTAGAGAATCCATTTCTTCAGAGATAAAAGAGCTGAAGTCTACTCAGGCCGAAAATAAAAATGCTATAACCCCCAAGATGCAAACCTGAATGGATGTCATAACAGCAAGGGTGGACAAAGCAGAGGAAAAAATTAGTGATACAGAAGATAAAATTATGGAAAATAGTAAAGCTAAAGAGGGAAACAAAGATAATGGATCATGAAGGTAGACTTAGGGAACTCAATGACTTATTAAAATAGAATAACATTCATAGGAGTCCCAGAAAATGAATAGAAAAATGGGCTGAAGGTTTATTTGGGCAAATTACGGCTGAAAACTTCCCTAATCTGGAGAAGGGCACAGACATCAAAATCCAAGAAACAGAGAACTGCCATTAAATTCAAAAGCTGGCCATCGCCAAGGCATATCATGGTCAGAAGAATCCTGAAATCAACAAGGGGGGAAAAGTCAACCTACAGGGGAAGATGGATCAGGTTTGAGGCAGATCTGTCCACAGAAACTTGGCAGGCCAGAAGGGAATGGCAGGACTGCCAGTCAATGTGCTGACTGGGAAAAACATGCAGGCAAGAATACTTTAAACAGCAAGACAATCATTCAGAATAAAAAGATAAAGAGTTTCCCAGACAAAAACTAAAGGAGTTCATGATCACTAAACCAGCCCTATAAGAAATACTAACGGGGACTCCTTGGGGGTGGGGAGGAGAGACCAAAAGCAACAAAGACTAGAAAGGAACACAGAACACCACCAGAAACACCAACTTTATAGATGACACAATGACACTAAATTCCTCTATCTTTTAATAATCACCCTGAATGTAAATGGACTAAGTGCTCCAAATCAAAGGACACAGGCTATCAGAATGGATTAAACAAACAAACAAACAAACAAACAAACAAACACTATCTATATGCTGCCTACATTTAGACCTAAATGTAGACTCATTTTAGACCTAAAGACATAGGCAGATTGAAAGTGAGAAGATGGAGAACCATCTATCTAATTTGGCTAATATCTTTTGGCTAAGGGATGCCAAAAGAAAGCTCGAGTAACCATAATTATTTCAGACAAACTCAATTTTTAAACCAAAGACTGTAACAAGAGATGAAGAAAAGCATTATATCATAATTAAGGGGTATATCCATCAAGAAGATCTAACAATCAGGGTACCTGGGTGGCTTAGTTGGTTGAACGTCTGACTCTTGATTTCAGCTCAGGTCATGATCTCACAGTTTTGTGACTTCAAGCCCCACACATGCTCTGCATCGATAGCGCGCAGCCTGCTTGAGAGTCTCCCTTCTGCCCCTCCCCCACTCACACTGTCTCAAAATTAATTAATTAATTAAAGATCTAACCATTGTAAATATTTATGCCCCAGCTTGGAACACCCAAATATATAAATCAATTACTAACAAACATAAACTCATCGATAATGATAACAATAATAGTAGAGGACTTTAAACAACCACAAGAAAAAATTTGGAAAGACCACAAATACATGGAGGTTAAAGAACATCCTACTAAAGAATTAATGGGTTAGCCAGAAAATTAAAGAAGAAATTTAAAAAGTATATTGAAGCAAATGAAAAGAAAACATGACAGTCCAAAATCTTTGGGATGCAGCAAAGGCAGTCTTAAGAAGGAAGTACATTGCAATACAGGTCTACTTCAAGAAGAAAGGTCTCAAATACACAATCCATCCTTACACTTAAAAGAGCAAGCAAAGGAAGAGCAAATAAAGCCTAAAGCCAACAGAAGAAGAAAAATAATAAAGACTAGACCAGAAATAAACGATATAGGAACAACAACAACAACAACAACAATAGTAGAATGATCAACAAAAGTAAGAGTTGGTTCTTTGAAAGAATAAAATTGATAAACCCCTAGTTAGACTTATATCAAAAATAAAAGAGAAAGAACCTAAATAAATAAAATCACAAATGAAAGGAGAGAGATCACAACGAATACCTCAGAAATACAATTAGAATACTATGAAAAATTAAATGCCAACAAACTGGGCAATCTGGAAGAAATGGATAAATTCCTAGAAACATGCAAACTACCAAAACTGAAACAGGAAGAAATAAAAAATTTTAACACACCCATAACCAGCAAAGAAATTGAAATAGCAATCAAAAATCTTCCAACAAATGGGGCGCTTGGGTGGCTCAGTTGGTTAAGTGTCTGAATCTTGATTTCTACTCATGTCATGATCTCACAGATCATGGGTTCAAGCCCTGAGTTTGAGCACTATCAGTGCAGAACGTGCTTGGGATTCTCTCTCTCTCTCTCTCTCTCTCTCTCTCTCTCTCTCTCTCCCCCCAATCCCCACCCTCTGCCCTGCAAATAAACTTTAAAAAAACATCTCCCAACAAACAAAAAGTCCAGGGCCATATGGCTTCCCAGGGGAATTCTACCAGACATTTAAAGAGTTAATACAGGGTGCCTGGGTGGCTCAGTTGGTTGAGCATCCAACTTTAGCTCAGGTCATGATCTCGTGGTTTGTGGGTTCAAGCCCCACATCGGACTCTGTGCTGACAGCTCAGAGCCTGGAGCCTGCTTTGGATTCTGTGTCTCCCTCTCTCTCTACCCCTCCCCTGCTCATTCTCTCCCCTCCCCACCCCACCCTCTCTCTCTCTTTCTCTCCTTCTCTCTCTCTCTCAAAAATAAACATTTAAAAAGTTTTTAAATAAAAAATAATAAGAGTTAATACCTATTCTCAAACTGTTCCAACAAAATAGAAATGGAAGGAAAACTTCCAAATTCATTCTATACAGCCAGAATTGCCTTGATTCCAAAGCCAGACAAAGACCCCACTAAAAAGGAGAATTACAGGCCAATATCCCTGATGAACATGGATACAAAAATTCTCAACAAGATACTAGAAAACTGAATCCAACCTTACAGTAAAATAATTATTCACCATGGTCAAGTGGGATTTATCCTTGGCCTTGTTCAATATTTGCAAATCAATCAACATGATACACCACATTAATAAAAAGAAAGGATGGAAATCATGATCCACTCAGTAGATGCAGAAAAAGCTGACAAAATACACTATCCATTCGTGATAAAAGCCCTCAACAAAGTAGAGACTGATGGAATATATCTCAACATCATAAAGGCCATATACAAAAGAGTCACAACTAATATCCTCAATGGGGAAAAATGGAAAGCCTTTCCCTTACAGTCAAGAATAAAACAAGGATGTCCACTCTCACCATTACCATTTAACATAGTACTGGAAGTCTTAGTCTCAGCAATAAGACAACAAAAATAAATAAAAGACATCCAAATCAGCAAGGAAGAAATCAAACTCTCACTATTTGCAGATGACATAATACTCTATGTAGAAAACCCAGAAGACTCCACCAAAATAATTGCTAGAACTAATATATTCAGCAAAGTCGCAGGATATAAAATCAACATGCAGAAATCTATTGCTTTCTATAAACCAATAATGAAGCAGGAGAAAAATAAATCAAGGAATTGATCCTATTAGCAGCTGCACCAAAAACAATTAGATACCTAGGAATAAACCTAACCAAAGAAGAAAAAGATCTGTACTCTGAAAATTATAGAACACTTATGAAATAAAGAAATGGAAAAGCATTCCATGCTCATGGGTTGGAAGAACAAACATTGTTAAAACGTCTATACTACCCAAAGCAATCTACACATTTAATGCAATCCCCATCAAAATACCACCAGCATTTTTCAGAGAGCTAGAATAAATAATCATAAATTTGTATGGAACCACAAAAGACCCCAAATAGCCAAAGCAATCCTGAAAAATAAAAAATAAAACTGAAGAATAAAAAATAAAATAAAATAAAAATCCATCACAATGCTGGATTTCAAGCTA